CGAAGCTGCGGGTAAAACCTAGCACATTTTCGATCAATTCACTCAATTTAAAAAGAGAATTCCGAATGTTATTTGGTATTGTGACTGTTCTTTCTTGGCTGTAAATTATTTTTTATCATTTTTACTTATCTGTAAGAGAACATTTCTGTTTTAATTAAGTAGGTAAAGTTACAACACTAATTAGCTTACATGCGGGTTTAACCTTCTAAATAACAAAACATTTACCCTTATTCGTAGATCTAAACTATTCAGTACATGACCCATAAAAGATGATTTAAAAATTGTTTTAAATAATAGAATTTATATTTACGTATTAGACATTTACGTCAAATAATAATTAAATATAAATAGCTCATTATGCAATGGAAAATTGACGACTTTTTTTTGTATTTGCGGTTTTAATTGCTTTATTGAACACAAATTGCAACTAACGTTTGTATTTCAGTAGATAAATTATTCTATAAATTAATAAACAACAGAAAACAAGAAAACATATTTAAGCGTAACTATCACTAACTTCGTTAGTCTATAAGGTTTGACCAGAAAAACGTAAAATTTAAATTATTTCTCATTCGTGCCCTAAAATCAAAGAAGTGTTAGGTAGCTGCTTACAATAAGATTAATTGCTATGGTATTTTTTAATCTGTAACCATCATTAATATTCTTTATTTAATTAATTAATTATTGATGGTATATAAAGGTATGGTGTATTGGTAATTATAAACCAATTACTAAAAGAAAACCTTGATGATATTAGGGCACGATAAATTTAAGATAGCATACTCCAACTGCCGAACTATTAACAATTTTTTTCTTTGTTGATATACAATTCGTAAATCTCATAAAAGAATAAAATTGAAAAATAAATTCAAATTACGTTAAGTTTACTGTGATAATTTATTACTAGAAATTGTGAAAAACGAAAGCAAAAAATTCATGATAAATATGTAAGTTTTGAAAATGTTCCATTTTAAAAATAAGTTATTATTTCAGTTTTAAATATGTTAAATGGATTGCTATATACTGATATCAATGAAAAGGTTTTAACTAATGATTGGTATGAAATTTGTTGGTATTTTACATATACAGTCGACTCTCGTTAATTCGAAACTCGAGGGACTCAAATATTACGAATTGTCGAGTGTTTGAAATATCAAACGGTTCGAAATTTTTGAGAGAAAATAACCAAAATAAAACAAACCAATTCATGCGGTAGTGTGTGTCAAACTAATTATAACAAAAACAAAAGCTCGATGATACGATGATACATGTTTGAAATTGCCTCAAAATGTATGTACGTACTTACAATCTTTCTGTCTCTTTCTTTCTGCAACTTTGAATTGTAGAGTGTTTGACGCCGATGAGTTCGAATTAACGCGTCATCTTGTTATGTAGCAATTATTTTTTCGTTCGAATTACCAAGTGCATAAAAATGTATTGATTTAGTTCGAAATATAATGAGATTTTGTAGGGAACTCGTGATAAGTTCGAATTTTAGAAAGGTTCGAATTACCGCAGGTTTGAATTAACGAGAGTCGACTGTATTCATATCAATTACCTTGCAGAGCGTAACGTTTTGATCTGGTATCGCTTGCTGTCCCGACTTTGTCTTTTACTCCACACCTCGGAAGAGACATGGTTTTCACAGTTTCTTCATCTAGTTCGCCTGAAACGAAAAATATTGTCCATTATTTCATCATCATCATCCTTAACTATTTGCGAACAGTAATCTAATCTAGGTCTACCTCTACCCCCCCTTAACTCCTGTTTTTGCCACTAATATGTCTCTGACTAGATCTTCATGCCTGAGAAGGTGTCCTACCAATCTATCTCGCCTATTTTTTATTGACTTCCATAGAGACCTCTGTTCTCCTATTCCTTCATTATTTATTAAATAACATTTCAAACGGTTAATAAACCTTGACAGAACCGACGTTTACGTTCGTCTTCCAGGCCGGCATATTACAAATCCACCGTTAGCCTTAACCTCATTAAATGACTCTTAATTACGTAAAAGATAATAAATTAATGATGGCGAATTAGCAACGGCTTGTGACACTGTTTTTCGTGAAATAGTCAGGTTTGCAACATTCCAAGTAACAAAGGAGGTTTTAGAGAGAAATCAACGCGATGTTTTGCTCGCACGCTGCTGCCGAATGAGTCACATGTGATAAATAATATTAGGCTCCTTTGGTACTCACTTTAATTGCCATTTTACAGCAAATAAATAAAAAGTGACGCGTGTGTGTCACAAACGATTAAAAAAATTACAATGTTAAAGAAGCTTAAACGAAATACTTGAGCGATTAGTCGGTTTAACGAACAACACTTTTTTTTACTTTTGTTGGTTTAAATAAATGACGAACATGTTTAAAAATAAGAGATATTAACAAACAAATGGTTTATTATTACGTATTTTTTGCTGAACAAATTTATTGATACAATAGGTAGTCCCTGCTTTTGTACTAATAATGACAGTATTAAGGGCGAGAAGTTATTGAAGTTTGTTTAAATAATTTGACTATCGGTTGCGTTGTGAAATTTAATACGAAATAGGAGTGCGGGGTTAATAAGACACCTTAAGAATGAAGGACTAGTTAGAGACATATTGGAATCAGAAACAGAAGTTAACAGGAATAGAAGGAAATTCGAAGGTTAGAAGAGTGGAGGTGCGTATCTAGTCTTACGATGATGATGATGATGATGCTTTTCGGTAAAATATTTAAGACTTTCTTCAGTGTAAGGGCGTCACACCGTAAAAAGTGCTAACACATTTTGAATTATCTTGTCATAGCAATCAATTAACTGATTCGAACTTGTAACACGTCAAAAGTTAACACTCAAAAACGTTTCTGTGAAATTTTCAAGCGAGGGTATCAACGTCCCTTTAGTGGAAGTGTTTGCATAAACATTATCAAAAAACTTTATGATTTGAAAGCAAATTTTTAGTATTGCAGCAAGTAAAACGAAAAAAATACGAAATCGCACATTGACATATTTTTTTAAAATAACGACATGAAGAAGTCCAAGGTTTTAAAGAATAAATTACTTTATATTAATCGAATAGAAATCACTGTAACGCATTTTTGCTCTCGAGGATGAGACATCCGTTATCATTTCACAAATGAATAGGGGGAAATGTCCCTGGGCAGTGTAACAATAGGACATTTCTTGATTTAATGGTCAATTTTTCCGCCAGTTGACTAATATTGATTTGACTATTTCTTGATCGATTTTCAATAAGAATATAAAAGACTTTTCGTCTTACCTGTTACGTCCAACCCCGCGAAACTTTGAAATTCGGCTATTGCTTTATTAATAACCCGTCCATCAATTAGGTTGCTTGAATTTCCGGTATTTCTCACACCAGGGTCCAAGTATCCATATTGAGACAGATAAAACTGTAACAAAAGATGTTTTTACGTGTTAGTTTCTTATTTACGAGGGTGGATTGATAAGTTTCCGGCCTGACCAAGAAAAACAAGGTTTTTAAAATTTTTTTTTTTTTATTTCTCAACATAATCTCCTCCAAGGCTGATACATNACAAAATCTAAAAATCACTCTGTATTTAATCGAACTTTCAAATGCATTTTAATCATGCTGTATTTAATTTATCTTATTGACTTTATCGAATAATAATTATTGAGGAAGGACTAACGTTTATAATAGATATCAACAATGCAAAGAAGTATACAACCGCTATATATATAGGTATGTCATGCACAGCGACCAAACTATTTTTTTTACACATGCCAGGGTCACCAGACGTGCATTTTATTATTTATTTATTCAAAATGCCAACTGCATCCAACTTTTTTTACACCTTTGTCTATACATTGTTAGTATTGATGCGATGATTCCAAACAACATAAACGATACCAACAATGAAATGGTACGTTGTATTTTGCCTGTCTATCTCTACGTGAATTATGTACTTACATATAATAAATAATGCAATAAAGCAGATCAGAAAATACACACAGGAAGACTTGCAAGGTTACATATGCCTACACAAACGATGAAAAAAGCAAAGCATATCTGCGGAACTTCTGCATCATTTTTTTGCATACGCGTCCGTATTCGCAGTAATTTCTGCGAAGCTTTAGTAGTTGTGAATCCGATGCGCGATGGAATAAATAATATTAATGTAATAGTTACGACTTGTATCTCGAAATTTCGAATTCGAAGTAGAAATATTGAGTTACAAGTCTAAATTAAAAAAAGAAATACGTTATGCTTTTGTACGCCTTCGTAAAAATGAGTTAAAAGTCCGCAGATATCTACATCATCCCACGTATGTATGTGATAATTGCATGATTTTTAGGTGCCCGCCACCAATAATAAGTGCGTCAAAAACTCAAAAATTATTTGAAATATACATACTTGTTGAAGAGAGCGATTATAAAAATGACAGGCATTATAAATTTACGTTAAAATGGAAAGATCAAGCGCAGAAATCCTGTTGAGTACGTCATTAATATTAATATTATTTTATGCATCTATGCGGGTTCCTGGGAAGTTTGTCTTTAATGATAAATGGGGTAGATCATTAATTAGAATTTTATGGTTGCTTTTTTTTTCATGCAAATGCTCGTCGGCTAATATTAATGGTTAGTAAAATTCCAGCAAATTCTTGAAATATTAAAATTCTAATTCTGTTTTTGTACCAAATTTTAAGAAACTCAAGTTTAATACGTTCAGAGTTTTGTTAATATTTTCACTTATCAGAACTTGATAATATTTAAATGAATTTATTTTGGAAAGACTTATTTAAAATCAGAAATTAACTAAAACGGAAAATTTATTGATGCTAATTTTTTTGATTATTTTTTGGTCATTCAAGCAGTAATTTTCTGCTTTTAGATTTATTGTGGAAAACAATTCGAATTAAACGTAGATTTCAAATATTATGACATTTTTAATTACTAATAGTGGTTAATATGCAATATTAATGTGAAAATTCATTTCCGATTTTCCATTCCTGAGGAAGTTTTTAATGGATGAAAATGAATTTTCACATTAATATTTCAAATATTTACTAACATCAACAAATAAGAAAAACTCATTTGTTTACGAGATATCTACGAAGATTAGGTAATAGATTTCTAGCATTCCTACTACTTAATTGTAAGTCAGTAATAATTGTCTCATGCGCGATCCGAAATATAGAGAAAACATAGAAGAAAAGCAGTTCATACAATAGTTATAAAGAGTTGTCAACGATTTTTTTCTGGGTGCCCTACCTGTGTCGAAAATATCATCTCCCGTACTACTATCAATTTGTGGGATTCCGTTAAAATCGCTCTCGTCAGCAAGTAGCCATCCGTTCGACGTAAAGCGGGTACCTATAGTGCCCCTCGGCGAACTCTTGCAGCCGAACCACCAGTAAGCTGTTGACCTGGGGAACGCGGGATTTGCAGAATCAACAGCGAATTGCCTGTCATTGAACCGATAGTACGCGTTATCTTTGTAGAAGTATGTGTAACCGTTGGTCCATTGGAACGCGGCGTCGAGGTTGTTGGGCAGTCCTTCCCAGTTTGAGATCGGTTTCGGATACGTGCCCTTCACAGGGGGTCGTTGGGACGGGTCAAACCTCCAGAATTTCGAACCTGGAAGAATGACATTTTTATTAAAAATTTTAATACTTAATGATATTGTAAAGGTGTTACTACCTTTAAAGAAATAAATTTTCCCATTCCCGCTCCACACCATTGCAGCATCGATATCGTCTGGGATACCGGTGAATCCTTCCGAAATATCCTTGGGATAATCCCCGTCGACCCTTTTGCCGTTATACCGCCAGTACTGTTTGCCCTTGAAGAAGTAAGTTTTGCCATTTTTGTAAGTGAATGCGGCGTCTATGTCTCCTGGTAGTCCTGGCCAGCCTTCAGATATTAGTTTGGGATATCCTGGAGCTACGGCTTCCCTGGTCAACTTCCAGTATTTGTCGCCCTTGAATGCGTACGTCTCTCCGTCAGCGGAATTAAAAATCGTGTCGATTCGTGGATCGTTGCAAAGTTCCTTGTCTTCGGTGGGCGTCATTGCCGTGGGTTTTCCTACTGATTCTCCTCCGTCGCTGTCGTCGTTATCCGTTTTATCGGTCTTTTCGCCGTACAAAGACTGTATTCCTTCGATGTCGTCGATGTCTAAAGAGAATGCTGGATCATATCCCCGATAAAATGGTGCCATCAAAGCTGATCGAACGTCTGAATGACTTAGACCCAGCGAATGACCGAATTCATGAGCAGCAACTTGGAACAAATTTGTTCCGCGATAACTCGAAATGGTCCAGTGCTCTTGGTTGTCAAAATGGGCGTCTCCACCAAACACCTTCAACAAATGACTATATATTATCCTACTCAGAGGACCTAAATTCTTCAGACACTTCTGTCACAGAGTTATTTGCTGAAGACTTTAATTAATCAATGCGAATAAATTGTACTCCCTTTTTACCAAAATTGGACGTAAAGCCTACTAATAACACAGGTCAACGTGAACCAAGAAATTAGGACCAAAAATATAGTTTCCAAAATAGTTTACGATGTTAAGTGATTGCCACATCAAAGCTGGATTTTGAAAAATTGTAGTTCTTAAGTTTTGGGATTTAGACATATGAAAAATTTTGACTTGCTAAACAAATTCTAAGAGTCTTCTTCGGTCTTTTTTCTTAAGTACTTCATTTTTCGTTGACCTGTGTAATTAATGTTTCCCTTTCGTCATTTCTAAACTGTCTGCTATGGGTACGTTTAAATATAATAAAAGAGAAACTAAGATTTGTTGTGTTTAAAGGGCAAAAAGCTCCCTGCTGATTCACTTACGGGGAAATAAGCGTGAGCTAGGGTTCCACCGGGACCATCAAATGGATCTCCGTCTCCATGTTCGCCAGTTTCGAAGCTGATCTCAATATGAACTTGTCCTTTAGAAGGTTTAAACTTTAAATCGGTGAATTCCGACCATACGGCAAAAGCTTTGGCGATTTCGGCATCGACGTCTTTCTTGACTAGTTTCTTAGGATATTTTGAGATCTTGTAAGTAAGGTTTTTTACCTTCCATCTACTCCCTAACAAAAAAGAAATACTTCGTTTACTTATCTTCAACAAAGCAGAAAATAATATCTAACTCCCCTTCATGGTGAAACATTAACTTTCCTGTTATCCTAGTTTTGACGTTATGTATTAGATTTATACGATACATTGGTCAAAGTGGTAGGACTATTAATGTTAGAATTAAAGAACATCTAAAAAGACGCCGAAGGCTTTTTCATAGTGAAATTAATAAAGTGAAAAGAAATGAAAAAATCTCCCATTCGCACTATGGATTTAATAAATAACCAAGCAGATTAAATTTTGTTTTATTGAAAGGTTCGATCCTGACTTTTGGCGTACATTATTAAAACTTTCGTGGTAAAGAAACGATTCAGAATATATTACATAATAATTGCAGAGATATGAAGAGGGAAATGCACTTTCTTCCTTTTAATTATTTTAATTGAATCGTTCGAACGTATGTTTTGCTATCGACCGTCAAATAAATGAATACCTGTTTGGACAAAACACGAACGTATCAAATGGTCGTATGTAAGTACAAATTGCAACTTATAATACGGATGCATCGGACCAAATCTCCTGTTAATCAGGCGCAGGTATGCTCATTCTGTTTATATTGATGTCAATCCCAATGTCCCGACCAGTAATTGGAAAATCGTTGCGTACTATGTGAAGCAAAAAATTATAATTACATACGTCTACGCACCTACATGCTACATGTAATACCTACACTGAATAAGCAAACAAAATCTGTATGGAATCAACAAAATCATAAAAATAAATAAAAATATAAACCACTAATGTATAGGGTTGTTCGGAAAGTCATTTCGTTTTTTCCCGACAGAGGATTTACTTGTATTCTTTTGCGCGCAACTTCACATTTAAGCCGTATAATTTTTATATGCTTTGAGAGCTCATATAGCAAGGCTTGTGTGTGAAAAATTCCAATTAATTCTACGCAGTAGTTTTTGGTTGGTGCCCTTTTAAATATGGAGAGCGATAAGCAGCATTTTCGA